CTTTACACCATCACTCAGTGCTGCAGATGAGCTGCTATCGGAGAAGACAAATGAAATAAGGGTATCACCTTGATCAGAGACTAACCCAGGCATCTGGAAATCCTCTCTCCTAACATTATCTTAATGTAAAATGATTGTCAACAGATTACAATCTCAGTTTAATTTGCTGTTAAATTCTCCCCACTCCCAAAAGCAGGCCTTGTGTCTGACCAATAGGCTTTTCATAGTTTGATTGGGCAACTACTTCTGACCCTCTGCCAAGCAATATAACCATGTTAACTGGCCCCAGGAATGGGCTGTGGGATGGCTGGGACTCTGCTGAAATGGGCTACAGCCAAGTCATGCCATCAAGTAACACAATCTCAAAGCACTTTATGAGGAAGATAAATTATGTTCAGGATACATTATAAAGGAGTCTAAGTACCTCACCACGATCTTGGGAACAGCAGACTGTGCAGAAGGAAGCTTGCACAACAAGAGCATCATGAAAGACTCCATAGGGGACAGGAAGATAATGTTTTCAGAACTTCAGTGAAGCCATAATAAATAAAGCATAGGGTCACATGCTGAATGACAAAGTGTCGTAGTTTAAACCCAGTCAGGTAACTCGTTCACTCACTTCCCCCCCTTCTTTCCCTCCCCCTACTCCCGGAGGGACAGAGAGGAGAATCGAAAAGAATGCAACTCCCACGGGTTGAGATAAGAACAGTTTAGTAACTAAGGTATAACACAAATCACTACTGCTACCACCAATGATAATAATGATAAAGGAAATAACAAGGGAAGAGAATACAACACCTCAGCACCAGCCGATCGATAACTTGCCCCCCAGCCCGACCAAGCTGTGACCGATACCTCCTCCAACCCCTCAGTCTCCCAGCCCTTCCGGCTAACTCCCAGTTACATCCTGGGCATGACGTGCTGTGGTATGGAATACCTCTTTGGTCAGTTTGGGTCAGGTGTCCTGTCTCTGCTTCCTCCTGGCTTCCCCTCCTCCCTGGCAGAGCATGAGGCTCACAAAGTCCTTGGCCAAACCAAAACATCACTATCAGCTCTGTTCCCAGGCCGAAAGTCAAAACACAGCACTGCACCAGCTACCAAGAAGGAGAAAAATGACTGCTACTGCTGAACCCAGGACACAAAGCTAATAAGAAATATAAAAATATCTGTATGTCCTCTGTCCTCATCCATCCTGCTTGCAATCAGGCAGGTGCTCAGAGAAATATGAGAAAGTGACTATGGATGGTAAGAGCCTACCAAAAGTGTGAAAGCACTGGGAGCTGAGTTAAGACTACAGGCTGCCCTGTTCTAGCATTTCCTAATTTCTAAATGCAGGACTCTGCAAGCAACAAAAAAAAAAAAAAAATGAATGTGAGTTTGAGGTGCACCAATTAATATATGGAGTTTATAATGTCCTGCTGAGGAAAACTTCTAGGAACACAAGTGTAATACAATTTAGTTTCTGTATCTGGAAGAGTCCATCTCCCTTCGTTTTTTCAGCCACTGAAACAATCAGTGTCCTTGCCTGTATCTTCATGGCATCACCAAGTACTGAGGGATTTCCAAGCTCTCAGTGAGTGATCCAGTGCAACTTCATAGTTCCGTGCAGTGAAATGCAGAAACACTACCAGATGTCTAAAAATACAACCTAGCTGAAAGGCTAATTAAGGCTGTTGAAAGATCTGGCTCAGTGGGCAACACCATCTAGATGTCATTCTCTTGCCTGTAATTTCAGAGCAGTCTTGGTTAAAATAAATTCAGACACCTTGTCACAGAAGTGCTCTGTGTTTTCAGAGCTATCAGCCTTTAATTTCTTTTTCACTTAACTGAAAATAAAATTTCCCCAGAGTGCTTGAGTCTGCTCTTAATTCATGTGCATAGCTCTAATTAATGTTAATTATTTTCATTCACCAAGGGGAGAAGCGTATTACTTCAGATGCCTACTTGGAATATGCTACTTTAGCCCTGTGTGTGTGATTCCAAGAGGGAAAGATGCAGCTGCCTCAAAACACAAATGTCTAGTGCCTGAGCATAATCAGGTGAAGGACAGGGTGTACTACACCACAAATAGCACAGCCAGGCTTCCTGCACCACTCGAATTCTGATTCATAAAGCTTGCAAAACATAGCACAGAGATCATTGCTAGTTCATTTTCCCTCTGCACAGTTGGGCAGGGGAATCATTTCATCAGATGCTTATAATGGTGCCAAATGGGCCTTGAGCCTCAAGTACCACACTGTCTCAGCACAAAAAATAAACAAGCCCTGTCCAGGCTGGAACCACACAAGTCAGTGCTAGATCCAGAAACAAACCCCAGATCTCTAGAGATCTAAGATCAGGTTTTATCTACTGAGCTACACTTCATTTTGTGGCAGGGCTGAAGTCTCCAAGGGATGTCTCTTCCAGCACACTACTGAAACAAAAAAGCAGGACAGGTTTATCCCAATTGAGGAATCTGGCCTATACTCTTTCACTGAAAATAAACTGCAAAACCTGGACACCTTCCATGTTTTTCCCCACATATGCAAATTTATACAAATTCATCAACCTTGCCAGCATCTTTCTGCATGGTTACCCTTTAACTAGGGCTTTATTGGATAACTGTAACTCAATTTGCTGCAGCTGTGTGACCCTGATTTGCTTTTGGAGCAGAGCAAGCTGCGGGAGGAAGAGCCAAGTGGGACCCCCACCTGCCAGGCAGCCAGGAAAGTTAGAATGCACCAATCTGAATGTGCAAAATCTGGCAGGTGGCAAAGATGTGCTGTTTATTTTTCCTAAAGACAAAATTAGCACATTGATAATAATCAAACAGAGCTGTGTGCAATGGGCTTTTTTAATTAACAAATGTCTTCTTACAGGTATGAGCAGGATGCAGGCACTGTCCTCATCCATGCAAGCTGTTGTTGATGTCCCTGGAAAGCTCATATACAAACTGCCTTTGGCTTTCTTTGTCTGCGTTTGTTCTGGGAAGGAGGTGGTTCCTCCTTGCCTGTTTTAATCACGTATTCTTTTTCTGCAGAATGTTGCATTCTTGCTCACACCCAAGAACACAGGTCGTATCTAATGGAATAGATTGCTTTGAAAGATGCAATGGAAAAGTCTTTATTTCAATAGGCACTCACAAAGTACAGTGTTGGGACTGTTCCCTCCTGCTACTTCTAACTATAGTACATCTTTGTATCTCACAACTGCCTGATCGGAACTGGCTTTTTCTTATTAACAGTTATCTGTGGTTTTAATATTTATTAGATAGAAACATCCTTCTCCTTGACTACCTTTATGTAATACAGCAGCTTCACAGGCATGATCATGCTTTTTGCTAACATCCAGCTCTAGGAACCCTAGCAGCAGAAGTTAATAGATTCATTCTAGCTTGGGTACAGTCAGGATAGTCTTCTGCATGTCTCTGCCTCAACCCATACTGATAGCTGAATTATCCATTCAGTGGATAATGGATTATGGTTCTGATTTATCAAGCAATCCTATCACAAGACCAAGTTACCTGCATTTCAGTCATCCAACACTTTCCATCCACTGAGGTCCAAGACCTGAAAACACTAGTGTTTTGCAGCATTTCTCCTGCTGTTACAGAATTACCCCTTCCTTTCTGTGAATATTCTGAAGATTCAGAGTAGAGAGTTCCTAGAGTAAAGTAGCTTTCTGGTGGAGATTACATCAGTATATGTTGTACAGCTACCAAAGCACCATGTGTAAGTCAGTAGTGGGGATACAACTGTTCTTTTGTGGGTTTATATCATGCATTGAAGGACTTGGTACAGTTGCTGAAAGAGTTGCATCAACCTGCCTGTGCCATATTTTTAAGAGGAAAGATGATCATCAGACATGAAACAGAAAATATTTTTTCTGTTGTTTACTGTCCTTCAGAAACAAGGTAGATGAAGAAGAGCAGCAGTAGATGCGTTACACAATTCAGTTGTACAAGTCAGTTCAGACAGTAGCAGATGCTTTCAATTTATCCCTGCTCAAGGGGCACAAAACCACCCATGTCATCACACTGAACTTTCTTGCAACAGAGCCATAAATTTCTAACCCCAACATCTTCTATTTAAAAAAAAAAAAAAAAAAAAGAACTTGAAGGAGAAGGTTTGAGATATGAAATTCAGATTTATCTTCTACTTATTAGAGATCTTCTGTAGAGAGAGGTCCTAACTTAGGACTTGCTAAATTTGCCACCAACTTCTTTGATGTCAAGGATATTCAGATGTTAAGATTTTGCTCTCTTTGATGGAGATAAGGTACAGATGTATTTCTTCAAACTATATGGCTGGTTTTGAAATAAAGTTTCGTGTTTCCTTTCCTTCAACTTTGACTTTTATTCATTCTGGCTTGTTGTGGCAATGGAGGCACGGACTGCAGTTGTGTTGCAACAGAAATCATTTATTGAGTGAGCTTACAGACTTTTATAGACCCCTGCTTAGTGGTTAGTAAGGGTTAGTAGTGGTTACTTCTTTTCCGTCCCTTTCCATCATGAAACAACGTTTCTTCATCAAGCACACACCATGCGCTTTTCCGGCTAATGACATTACTGATCATGTGCCCCTTCAGCCAATCACATTATTGTTCATTCACCTTTGATTGAGCAACTATTTTTAACCAGATATACAAACAGGTTTCTCTGCTACCACTTCTTGCTACATTGTTAGTTCCCATTTTCCTTGAATACACATTCCCATTATCCTTGAACACACATTCTTTGTCTTGTCTTAAGCAACTTCCTGTTTCAGTATTTACATTTCTCAGAAATTATCTCAGTGTTCTGTTTTCAGATCCTCTTGACTCCCATGGTTTGTAGCTGATGAGGGTCAAGATGTCCGAGCGCTTGTCCAGGTCTGTTGGTGCAGCTTCTTGTGCAACATTCCTCACAGTTTGTTCTGCCCTTTGAATTTATTTTTGTTTGTTTGTTTTGTTTGCTTTTTGTGGTTTTGTTTTTTTGGTTTGGTTTGGTTTGTTGTTTTTTTTTTTGGGGGGGGGGGGGGGGATTGTTATTTTTATCAGTACTTGAATCTATTCTATGCAAGTCCAAATAGCCATAATCAGCCCTCAGGAGTTTGCAAGGTGGTCACTACCATGCAGTCAGTGACTAACAACACAGGAGAAAGAAAAGCAACACTTTAATAGTCCTTCAGTAAGAGCATTTCTTTAATTTCTTTAATTAGCTTATGTAATTTTGGGTAGGTAAAAGAAGAAATTTAAATCAGCTCAGGAAGAGGTATGTTCATCTCAGAGATTCTAGGGGTGCTTGAAGAGGTTTGTGGGACTGTAGGAAACCTATCATGGCCTAACATGGGATAGGAGCGCGTTGTCAGATAAATACAGGCACAAACTTGTGAATCAGTAGTGCAGAGTCATTAAGCACATTGGGACAGAGACATAGTCCATGAGATTAATTAGTAGAAGTGTGACAGGAAGGCAGAGAAGGATGTGAATAGATTAACATTGCAACCAAGAAGTGCATACTCTTCGTTGTAACTATTCATTAAAGGGATCTAAGAACAGCAGGTGAAAGGCTAGAAAAGAAGAGATTTTATTTATCCAGGTGCATATGACAAGTTTTCACTGGAGAACTGCAGAATGGGATTTTGAGGAGTCCAGATAGGAGATAAGAAGATAGGACCAAAGCTGAACACCATTCTCACATATAGCCAGAGAAACTTGGAAGCCAGCATTTGTGATAACGAAAACGTGCAAAATGCTGAAGTCCAAAAAGAGATCGGATTTGCCTTGGAGAAGACAAAAACATAGGGCTGGCACTGGACTGAATGGCAAGCAGGGGATGAGGAGCAATTGGCATGGCTGAAAACAGTAGAAACAAAAGGTGACATGATTCTGAAAATTTTAAGTGCTCTTTTAAAAGGGGTTAAAAATAAAGAAGAGGGACATTAAGAAGAGTCAGTAACAGAACAGGAGAAAGTCATGGAGACAAAAACTTTTTTGCATGGAGGCACCATTCTCTGATGCTATTGGAGGCAAAGGAAATGTCGCTGAGGCTGGAGAGAGCTGTTTTTTCATTCATGTGGGATTTTAAAAAACACTGGTAATTGGTAATATGTCCATTATCAGCAATTAAGCTTGGGGCATGGGAATAGGCAAGGAGAAGAAGAGAGGTCCAGAACTGTGCATTTAGCTAATTTTGGTTTTCCATTTGTTGTGGAAGAAACTCTGTTATAAAAGCCTGAAATTACACATGAACACATATGCATGCATAACTTTTAATGCAAAGCCCAGAAAATAGTAAATGCTTCTAGAGATGGATATCAAGGGCTTTGTTTAAGGCATAATCTATATTGCTTTTGAGTTTATGGAGCAAAAAGAGCTGTTGAAATTGAGTGAAAGCTGCAGCCAGACTCTTTAATCAATCTCCAAAGCTGTTTATTGTGAGTGTAGTATAAAGCAATAGAGATTAATGTCAGTTTCTATAAATCACAGCAAAAAGCATCTTCTCTTTCATTGCCAGAGGTATAAATATCTTCATTTTTTCTCAGATTTTGCTGTAACATGCTGGCTGCAGAGGTCCTTCAGGGGAAAAGAACACAAGCACAGTGTCATATGCTTTTAAACAAGTGAATTTAAAAATAACTTGTATGTTTATTTACAGAACTGGAAACTGCTGGACGTTTCTACTAAGCAGCTTTGAAAATCTCAGCCAGTCTACAGAAGAGAACTACCCATTAACTGCAGTTAATCATCTTTCCAGTGCGCATCCCACAGGTTCCAGAGAGTTAATGCAATAGATATATCACCATTTCTTTTCTTTGTGAAAGTAGTGGTCGGGCATCTCTTACAACTACCTTCTTTTCTGCTTGTTTGTTTGGTTTTGGTAGAAAAACCTAATAAAGTATGTGAGGAACAAAACAATTTATAAAAGAATCCAGGAGCATATTCAAAAGAGATTTCTATTCATGTAGCTCCAATCCTATTTTACATTCATTTTTGGCTGCATACTGTAAGAAATTTATTTAAAGCAGACAGAACAGAAAGCCATGGGACAGTTTGTGTTGCAAATCTAAGATACCAAAAAAGAATTACTAAGCAAAGTGCAAAATTATTGCCGTATGAGAATGTCAACATAACATCCATGCTTCTCCACTGCTATCATCAGTCCTGCTCTCTCGTTAGCTGTTGGTTGAACACCTCTATCAATTCCTCACAAGTAAACTGTCCTGATCCTTATGAGTTGCAATGCATCTTACTCAGCTCCACAAACTACCTACCTAGAGAGAGATCCTGCCTTTGTAATTAGGTGGCCAAACCTTAACATACCAAACATGGAGAGACACCCCCTCCTCCAAAAGGAAAGGCACAGTGTCTAAGCTAGGCTGTTCCTCTGAATTACTCATTGAAGGTGTATCTTTTATATACCAGTATTGTACAGGGAATTAATGGAAACTAGCCTTTTGGGCTAAGGATTTCAGTTGTCTAGGGTATTTGAGAGCAAATATTGTGAATGCACAGCATTGAGCACACAGCTCAATCTTCAGGGGTCCTTAAGGAAGATCAACATAGAAGATAAACTCATTCATATAAAAAGTAGGGACAAGTGTCAAAAGACTGCATTGTAACAAACAAAGTGGGCATTCAGGGAAATCATGTCTCAACTGAGGTCACACACCAGCTTGAACTTAGCAAAAGGCCATGGTAAGTTAAGTAGCACACAAATCCTGAGACCTTGGCAAAATGTTCAGTAAAGTGTCATCATACTGAAATCTGTCTCAGAAGATGCTTCCAGAAAAATTTAGAAAATTCTCTTTGCTGAACACAAAGCTGTACATAGTCTGAGAGTAAGAAATACATATTTGGATGTTTACCTTGTTTCCTGAGCTCAAAGGCAGAATAGTAAAGCAAGATTCAGTCACTGCATTTGGAGGAGAGACGGTCCTACAAATCCCCCACTGATTTATCTGAATAGTATTTTGTGTTATCGTTCCTGTTAAATAGTCAAGATCTGTGAATGGAATTCTCCTTGGGATTCAACGCCAAGGAAAATACTAGTTTCAGGACAAAAGAGAAAAAAAAAAATGCAGTTTCAGGACAACTTAAAACTATGGCATAATTCTTTACTGGGTCTTACACTAAAATGCAAAACAATGATAAAGTACTAGAATATTTGGACTGGACTCAGAGATTATTGTTTACTGACTTAATAAAAACTTTCAAAGAAAGAATATTTTCATTCCAAAACCATTTAATAAATGCTAAACTAATAGGTCTATTTTAGTTAATAAAACTTAAGGAACATGGAAGTGGATAAAAGTTCATTAAATAGGTAGAGGCTGACAGTGGATTGGAATACTAATTGAGATTTTTATGTGCAACAAAAGAGATACAAATGGAAATACACTGTTATTCTAGTGAATGCCTCACATAAAAGGCCCCAGTGGAGCACAGAATGCATGAAGGAAATTGGATTGTAAAATCTCTGAGATAAAGATCAGTTCTATGAAACACAATGCCCCATTGCTTGCTTTTCTATTTTGAGAAGATTCTTTTAATAATGCCAACAAATGATGCAGTGACTGCTGTAGGTGCATTTCAAAGGTTCCCAGTCAGATGCAGAAATGAGGCAGTTAGATTCAGAACATACGAAATAGAAGGGGATGTGGTGGAACTTTCATTTACTTAATGGTATGTTTGAGTATCATTGACTTCTTGACTATCATTGACTTCTTTCACTGAGCATGAAAACCTTAGATTAGAAAAAGCCACATATTCCAGTGCTATTCTTAAAATTTTTAGTGGTTATTTATTTGGTTTGAAGAACTTTTCCCCAATTCAACTTGTAGCATAACCCTGAAAGGCATGTGAACTGTTCAGTCTTACAGGAGAAGAAATGGGGCTGGGCTGAAATGAATATACAAAAAGTGGCGAGTGGCTTCTGAAGGCTGGAGGATATAATCAAAACAGGTATTTCTCCTGGGTTTTCCCCCTCCAGTAACAGCAACAGACCATGTGTTGGAGGAGATGCCTTTGCATCTCCAAGCCAGCTTCTAAAAGGCTCCTTGGAACTGCAGCTGACTTTTCACTAGCAGTAGCAATAGTATTAACACACTTTCTTGAAATGCCAAGAAGAAAGTATGGGTACAACATTTCCTACGCCATTTAGAAACCAGCTTATCTAGGAGCATTAACAGCCACTGAAGAAAATTATGAAATAGCAATGAGAAATGTTTAGAATCTACATAGAGAAAGTCTGAATTTCAGGGTACTTTTATCTATCTGAAGCAAATGTTCATTGTAGGGCAAATAATTACTTTAAAATGTACTTTATTTTAAGTATGTGTTGAGCCAGAGCTGTTCATATACTAACCTTAATATAGAATTCTCAAAATATAGTTATGTGGTCATATCAGATGTAATTTGAACTGCTCCCAGAGTTCACAACAAGATAGTGAATCTGGACTTATGTCCTCTGTGTCCAGACAGTAGTCTCTATGAATGTAAATTACCATTAAAAAGTCCACTGATCTATTTGATCTTTTCAGCTATTCTGCAAGATAATTTTAGCTGTACGTAGCCATCTCCAGACAGCCTAATTCCGTCTACATCCCTGTGACTTCGATGCTGTCTAGCCAGGAGGAACCATTAGGCACAGGGACTCCAGTGGGATTTCAGATGCTAGGGAAATGTTTAGAAGTGTAGAGACTGTGCTGACCTGGAGTGGATTCACTAGGACAGGGCTGTGAATGCTCATTATTGAAGGTTTTAAGAGGCAGATGGTAGGAACACCTTAGGAATACATCCTAGAGGAAGCAACTATAGATGACCTTTGAGGGGCCTTCCAGCGATATGAGATTATCATTACACGGCCACGGTATTTTCCGCCAAAACAGCTTCAGGGTACCTCACACTATTGACAAAATTAAATTCAGATGTAAACATGAATCCTGTCAAGTCCAATTTAAAGTACATGTAGATTTAACATTCCTGTTATAAAAACACAACAGACTTAAAAATGTTATAAATAATTATTTGGGGGTTTATAGATTATTCTTAGACTTTCATGTCATATAGGAAAAGCCATCAAAAAATTCAAGTTGTCTTGATTCAAAAATGAAGCATACTTCTTTTGGGGAGCATGTTTCAAGTATGCACCAACACAGTAGAAATGCAAGGAGACGTCCATGATCCTAGATAGGGCAAGACAAAACGAGATTTCACCTGCCATGTGTGAACTGGAAAATCGTGGCAGTCAGGTGAAGTTCCTGATGACTGGAAAAAGGGAAATATAACCCCCATTTTCAAGAAGGGGCAAATGGATGACCCAGGGAACTACAGACCAGTCAGTCTCACCTCTGGGCCTGGCAAAACCTTGGAGCAGATCCTCCTGGAAGACATGCTAAGGCACATGAAAAACAACAAGGTGCTTGGTGACAGCCAGCATGGCTTCACTAAGGGGAAATCCTGCCAAACCAATTTGGTGGCCTTCTGTGATGGGGCTACAGAACTGATGGACAGGGGTAGAGCAGTTGATGTCATCTACCTGGACTTGTGTAAAGCCTTCGACACTGTCCCACACAACATCCTTGTCTCTAAATTGGAGATACATCAATTTGATAGATGGACCACTTGGTGGATAAAGAACTGGCTGGATGGCCGCACACAAAGAGTTGTGGTCAATGGCTCAATGTCCAGCTGGAGAGCAGTAACGAGTGGTGTCCCTCAGGGATTGGTGTTGGGACAAGTCCTGTTCAACATCTTTGTCGCTGACATGGACAATGGGATTGAGTGCGCCCTAAGCAAGTTTGCCAATGACACCAAGCTGTGTGGTTCGGTTGATATGCTGGAGGGAAGGAATGCCATCCAGAGGGACCTTGACACGCTTGTGAGGTGGGCTGATGCCAACCTTATTACGTTTAACCAAGCCAAGTGCAAGGTCCTACACCTGGGTCAGGGCAATCGCAGACATAGCTACAGGTTGGGCAGAGAAGAGATTCAGAGCAGCTGTGAGGAGAAGGACTTGGGGGTGTTGGTTGGTGAGAAAATGAACATGAGCCAGCTTCAGTGTGCACTCGCAGCCCAGAAAGCCAACTGTATCTGGGCTGCATCAAAAGGAGTGTGACCAGCAGGTCCAAGGAGGTGATCCTGCCCCTTTACTCTGCTCTCTTGAGACCTCACTTGGAGTATTGTGTGCAGTTCTGGTGTCCTCAACATAAAAAGGACATGGAAATGTTGGAACAAGTCCAGAGAAGGGCCATGAGAATGATCAGGGGACTGGAGCACCTCCTGTATGAAGACAGGCTGAGAAAGTTGGGGCTGTTCAGCCTGGAGAAGAGAAGGCTGTGTGGAGACCTCATAGCAGCCTTCCAGTATCTGAAGGGGGCCTATAGGGATGCTGGGGAGGGACTCTTCATTAGAGACTGTAGTGATAGGACAAGGAGTAACAGGTTAAAACTTAAACAGGGGAAGTTTAGATTGGATATAAGGAAGAAATTCTTTCCTGTTAGGGTGGTGAGGCACTGGAATGGGTTGCCCAAGGAAGTTGTGAATCCTCCATCCCTGGCACTGTTCAAGGCCAAGTTGGACAGAGCCTTGGGTGACATGGTTTAGTGTGAGCTGTCCCTGCTCATGGTAGAGGTGTTAGAACTAGATGATCTTAAGCTCCTTTCCAACCCTAAGAGTTCTATGATTCTATGATCTGATCCACACTGTGCTGTGATACATGTGCTACACACAGAAAGAAAGATTGTCTTCAGTCTTCAACCAATTCCAGTCACAGATGCTCAAGAGCAATGCAAACAAAATTCAGACATTTTCTGATCTCACCAACATCTATTGTAAATCTACAAAAATGGTCTCGTGTCTGGTTTTTGGATCCTCCTCTCCAGAATTTCCAGTTTAATGCAGTACCTTGATCTTTCCATCTAGTCTAGGTAATGATACTCATGTAAGTGAAATTAATTATTCAACATGAGAAATTCATTATTAAATATACTTAGAAACTATTTCTAAGAATTATTAACAATTATTAAATATAAGAAATTTCATTAACATAAGAAATTACTATTTTTTTAAGTAGGAAAATTATTAAATATAAGTATTTAATTATTAAGTATAAGAATATACACAAATGATAAAGGGGAGAATGAAAATGCATACCAGTATGTTTTGGTGTTGTTAATTTCCACTACATGGTAAAAGCCAACAATTACAGACACAGCCTCAACTGAGCTGTGAAGGTTGTTTGATTCCTTCATGTTCTGCTGATGGTTTACCATCTGTTGTCCTGATAACAATGCTAAAATGAGTATTCACATTATTAATATGCCCTCTAGTAACACATATCTCCCCATGTGTTTGTCCAGTACTACTCTTTCTTCCTCCATCCTCTCTCTCACTCTAAGTAAAGGTTCTTCCATTTACCTTGATAATCCTGATGTTTTTTTAATTGTATTTATTTTCACCTCACCCACAGTCATATGACCTATGGCTGTGATCTTATCAGGTCCCTGGGGAAGTATTCCTATAACTGCCAATTGAAGAGTTTCTCCTCTCTTTTCCCTGAAGCTGCCAGTCACTGTTAGAGACAAGACACAGGATTAGGTGGACCACTGTTTTGATCCAGCAGGCATTTCCTTCTTGAAGCAATTGTAGTTGGCTTGGGGCAGTGATTAAATGAGGCACTGCTAGAGAAAATCCAAGGCGTTGCAGGAAGCCTTATTTGATACAGAATGGTTTTCTTTCTGAATCTGCAATGCCAAAGCAAATTCACATTATTTTGCTGTTTCAAAATCTGTGCAATTATAAGAGGAACAGAAAGACTCTCATATCCCTGCTAATAACAGACACACTACTTCACTGTATTGCTCTGTCCAAGATAAGCCTTACAGCATGTCTGGGGCTTAATATCCCAAATGTGGCATGTTGCAGTGTTGCACAATGTTGTTTGCTGCTATTACCCTTTCTGCCCAGCTTAATGCTGTTTTCTCCAGGTGCTTTTTAATGGATTTTTTTTCATT